CCTGTAGTAGGAAAGCGGATATCACCACGTGTAGCTGTTACAACTATGTATACAGTTTTAGTCATATCGTACCAAACTGTCCAAAGCCAAAGGGGCATGCAAGCCATGCATCCCATGATTCCCATCAACCAGGGAGTCGTAAAAGCTTTTACGACTCCCTGCCATCAACTAATTACTTACTTGTACGCGATATGGCGCTGTACAAGACTCAAGCGCCCATTTGCATTGTATTGTATTTACTTGGGCATTCCCAACGGACCCTAACTTGCCTTAGGTCTTCTTAGGGTACCCAAGGTGAATGTTCCTGCCTCCTGGCGAAATTGGATGATTAGTGGGAAGGGATTAGGAATGAATACTTGAATCCAGCCACATGTAGCTTGAGCCCATTCACAGATCCACTGTTCAGTTCATTGGTAGTGTGTACTGGAACTGCCTGCCGCTTGATGTACTAGTACGCTCCACCACAATTCCTTCTGCATTTTAAAAGAAAGCAATTTCCAAACTCTCTCACCCTCTCCTAAGATCTCAAAGACTCATAACTGTCAACATTACGCCCAGTGAGAAGGCAGATTTTGCCTGTGCTTATGGTGAATGGGATTTTCGGTCTTTGACCACTTGCTGGTGAGCTGATCTACTCACCTCCCACCGCTTAGCAGTTTAGGTTATAGCCTATAGGGCGCGCTCACACTGCGACCATGAGCACGCATCCATGCGTCAGCAAAACGCAGAAACGTGGCAGTCGTGCATCTAGCATCTGCGCCTTCATCGTTTCTGCGTTTTGCTGACGATAGGCGGTCAGCCTTTGGGTCATCCTAACGAGAGAGCTTGGAAGCTCAGGGCCCTGCGCTATGCTTTGTTGCCTAGCTCATCGCGCATGTTGTTAGAACTGATGGAAATGCTTTTTCCTTTGATTAGCTACATCATTGTATTGCAAAAACGCTTCAATGAGATACTGAAGTAACGTCTTCTGCATAGCTATGGGACCGGGGCTGACTCTGCCGATCACGGGCGTTCCGGAGTCGACGAGATGTCTGTTCTGACGTTTCCTGGGACCGGCGCTGACTCTGCCGATCATGGGCGTTTATCTTCTTATTATTATTATACTGAGGGCAACTAACATCCATTCTGATTGCATTTACTCGTCTCCCTACTTCGTATTTCTTTCCAGAAAATCTCCCCATACAGCAGGGAGTCGTTTACATTATGACTCCCTGCTATACATCTACATGACTGTATAAACGTTATAATTATTATGCTATCCGCCTACATGCGATTCACGGGCTGGTCGACAGGCGGCCCAGCCAGCCTTCTAGTGGGATCTCGGCCTCGCACACAAATCCACACAAAATGTTACTGCACTGAATGCATTCCCCCGATACACTTCGCATATATACTCATTCTCTTGATGGTACCGTACTCTTGATGGTACGGGACAGGTACGGGATAGCGCCAGGCATGTCGATGGCACAAACAAACATTTAGAAAAGCGATCCTGTCAGCTTTTCTATTATTGTGTTCACATGGCAAGAAAAACGACACCGCTATGCTACGTAAGTTTCTACGTAAGGTGCTCGGTATTTCACTTAGGCTACGTAAGTCTCTACGTAAGGTGCTCGGTATAGATCTACCAACGGTTGGTAGCCGCGTGCTGTGCACGTGCACGGCAGACATTGTGTTGCATGCAGTGCATGCAGTCCGTGTTCGGATGTGCATGCGCAAGGAACTTCCTCCTTTGGAACTGCTTCTTGTATGAGCTGTTTCGGATATTTCGTCTCCTAGATCCTGGCCTGGAATATTTAGTTTCGGCGCTGCTGAGACCTCCTTTCGCGGAATATTACTCAATATCGACAGGTGAGTTGACCAGTTACCTTTGATTCTTTTGCTTGTGTTGACTCTTTCATTTACGAAAAGTGTGCTCATTTTGGGCGGAATGCAATAAATAATGGAAAAGCTGGCAGGATCTCTTTTCTAAATTTAGCTTTTCCGCTGCCGGGGCCCCCTTTACGGAATACTCGATGACAGGTGATCTCTGAGTTGACCGGTTTCCTTCGATTCATTTGCTTATGCTCACCCTTTCATTTACGGAAACGTGTGCTGATTTTATTCGGATTTAGATCCATTTTTATCTCTTTGCCCTTGTCTACAGTGTGCGAAGAACGCGAGTTCACGTTCTTGACGGTAAGGCTTATGTTAGATGTGTTGTCGAAATACTCATATTCATTGTACATTGGTACGTTACAAGTAAGGCACTGGTCAGTGGCATACTATCGTTGGCAGTTCCCAATCTGGAGGGAAAGGTTCAAGGACCCATTGACCGAGTTTGCAAAATAAATTCGCATATCAGGGAAAATCTCCATTGTGGAGAGGTTCAGTAAACTTGTATGATTAGATTTGTTTACTCGAGTCTGGGCTGTTTGATTTATTATTTGTGAGTTCCGCCGAGATTGCACTGCCCCAAATGAAGTTTCGTGCCGCCAAGGCAAGAATTACGATCTGCAATCTGTTTGTAGTACCTGCAAGAATGTGCTGTACATGTATCGTACTTTCTCTGTTGCTGTTTCAGTTGCCGTCATGTTGCTAAAGAAACGTTCAGTAGAGAGGTTCTGCACAACGAAAATTCGAACGAAGTTTCGCGACAGTCATTGCGAAAGTGTGTACGAATTTTTGCACAAACTTTGCGTTCTGCACGTTTTCGTAGTTTGCGCGGGCCAAGTGCACGTACGCCATGACCCGATCTCACGAAAGTGTGTACGACTGTTCATTTCGCGTTCCCTGCAAGTTTCGCGTCCAAAGTTGCGAAAGTTCGTGCGAAGTTTCGCACTTCAGGACGTGGCACGACTGTTTGTACGCATTTTCGTTTTGCAGAACCTCTCTAGTGACTCATTTGTTTCATACGAGACGAGTCAATGAGTTGGTGTGGCTTAGAATCTTTCGCTGTAGAAGAAATCTATTCGTATGTCTATTGGAGAAATAATTGTATTCACTGGTTATAAAATAGGTTAAGACAAACTCACAGAATAAATACCATCGGTCCCTTGGTGTTCGTCCTAAAGAGGTTCGACTGGATATCATTCATACTCACCAAAAATGTGTACGATTCTATTATTATGGAGTGCCTTGTTTATCTCTCAGTACCTCCAACCATAGCCTTGCCCCTTTTATCCTCAGGATCAGTGTAGTTGTTGGAAGGAGGTGTCGAACTCAGCAATGTATTTGTTTACATTTTAATACATGTTTATTGTTCCTCCTTTGCTGTGTTGTTTTAGAAAATCGTGGACTAACAGTTCGAAGTCATTGAACTACTTCCAAAAGTTGTATCGACATCAACAGGGTTACGATTTCAGTGCAATATGGTGCAGGATGACCTTATCACGATAACCCATGATTATAAACCATTATAAACACAGAATCAACAAAAACATCTGCGACACGCACCTGGTTACATTTCTCAAATAAATCTGATCGAGGGTGGGGAAATCTGAAATATCTGAAAGGCAAGACAATTTTATGACAGAGTCATGAAATTCTGCTACAGCAACATGCACAGAATGACCTCCGTATAAAAAAGGTATCACCACGGTCCACCACTACTCACATGTATCCCCGCAGAAGAACATGCTAGTCCCATTTTCTGCAAGAAAAGGCTTGCACATCAATGCGTATAATACGGTATTGATATGATGTGAAGGCCATCATTTACATATTGATAGGGCATTATTTTTGGCTACCGTTATGCTTTCGTTTCGCGTGAATATTTGTAAAATTGTTTTATGCACTAAAAAAAAAAAAAAAAAAATTTCATTGATTGGTGACAGAAAAAACAGAAGAAATTATAGCAATAAAAACTGCTTTATGGCAGTTTTCAAAAAAAAGTTATTGTGTTCTAGTCCATGGACCCCGTCTAAAAAGTAAGAAATTAACGAAATGTGATAGCTGAAAATTAAAATTTCACACAAAACCTCACAATAATCACACACAGAATGAAAAGCAACATGTAGAAGACCTTTTCTCCTCGTGATCCTCTTTCCTATGCATGCATGTTGCCAATTGTTGGTGGAGTACAAGTTTAGTGTTGAAAGCAGCATTTCAAGTGTTGTGATTATTGTGAGGTTTTGTGTGAAATTTTAATTTTCAGCTATCACATTTCGTTAATTTCTTACTTTTTAGACGGGGTCCATGGACTAGAACACAATAACTTTTTTTTGAAAACTGCCATAAAGCAGTTTTTATTGCTATAATATATATTGTGGCCAGCTGTCTTTGCTGGTACGGTACAGTACGGGACAGATACGGGATAGCGCCAGGCGTGACACAAAGGCTGTGTTTACATGAAGCGTTTCAACCCGGGTTGAGTTCGACCCGGGTCAGATTTCAACCCCCCATGTGCACAAAGTGAATGGCGCGTTTACATGACGCACTGCGCTTGACCCGGGTTGAAATTTCGCCCCGGGTTGATTTCAACCCTCCCCCCAAGGGGAGGGTTGAAATCAACCCGGGTCAAGAAAATCGTACAAACGTACTTCTGTGCGTATCTCGCGCCAGGTTTGAACGGCACTGCAGATGCAAATTTCGCGCGAACGGATTCACGTGACCATACAGGACTGTAGAAGTGGACTTTTGGCGGCATATCAGTATTTGACCCGGGTCAACTGTCTTCATGTAAACGCTCACCTCTTTTGTCTATCGTACAGACTTTCAACCCGGGGTGAACTCGACCCGGGTTGAAATTTCTCATGTAAACACAGCCAAACAAACAAACAAACAAACACCAAATTAAAGCTGTGTGGACCCTGGCTAGCGCCAGACCACGTTACTGAAGTAACGTCTTCTGCATAGCTACGGGAATAAAGTTATTATTATTATCGTGATCCTTGAAGTTTCGAAGGGTGGTGGCGTTCCTACGGGGGGGATCTATTATCTAGATATATCTAGGCCTATAAAGGCCCTAGGCCTGTGGGACTGCCCTATTCAAAATTTAATAATAATAATAAGGCCAAACT